TATATATAATTATATATATATATATACAGTGTATATATATATATAAATGCGCGCGCACACACACATATATATATATATACATACAGTATATACATACATACATATATATATATACATATGCACATATACATATACATGTGTATAATATATATACATATATATACATATACATATACATATACATATACACATACACATACACATACACATACACATACACATACACATACATACATACATACATACATCCATGCATACATACATACATACATACATACATACATACATACATACATACATACATACATACATACAACATACTACATACTACATACATACATACATACATACATACATACATACATACATACATACATACATACATACATATATACATATATATATGTATGTAGCCCCAGTTTTCAAACTTCTCAGGACCCAAAAAATCCTACTTCCCCTGCCCAAGGAGTCGGATATTTTGGCAAATCCTCGGCTGCCTGAGGCATTGGTAGACGGAATTACTCCCCGCCTCCAAAAAATGGAACCCTGGATTGTAATTCCAGGATTCTTCGGAGAATGGCTCCGTCCGAGCGTTTTGACAACAAAAAGGGTCACCCAGAATGGATCTGATACATTCCACCAGGGTTTCTTGGGGGATGTTTATGATGACATCTTTCATCCACATGTTTCTTAACAGTTGCAGCCAAGATATTCCGCCCCACGTGTTGCTTCCCTGCTTCGTTACTCTTCGTTGTCAGGCCGTGAAGTTTGGCATTGGCAGCTTTCCCACACTCTTTGGCACTCAAGATGGACGTGATATGCAGGCCATCGCCAAGAGATTGCACTGGCCACTGCCGCTGGGCGAAAAAACGATTTGGGGGCCTATGTGGTCATCCATCCTACACTGTCCTACACTCTACGACTGTTTTGTGATGGTCCGAAATCAAGAATCATTCTGTGTCTTAGAGCCACTAGCACTCCTAACTCCATCCGTCAGTTTCACGTGTTACACTAATCACCACACCCTCCCAAGCAATCCCCAAACAGAGTAGTAGATGGAAGTGTCACACCGCCTTGAGGGAGTAGAGAACAAGCTTAATTTTTTTTAGAAAGTCTCTCCTCAACTTACTCAGGTTGGGCATGACATTCGGTTCCGCCGAGGTTTTGGTCCTTTGGCACCGGAGATCCCACCGCGCAGGATCCCCACATGTGGCTGGGCTGATCAGAGGCCCCCTTCATGCAGTGAACGTTGCCATGTGAACTTCTTGAGAAGCCAGCTTAAATCTATTGAGGTCCCAACCATCCCCAATTAGTTTGATCACTTTTTAATGGTGATTCGCATTTTCCCTCAAGTCCCAGGACCTTGGACTTGAAGCTCCCTGGCAACCTGCGCATCGCGGATCCGGAGAACATTCTGATGACCACCAATGGCACGGTCGCGTGGTGAACCGGAGCCGGCTGATGCTATGGATGTAGGAATTGACCATCCAGCCATCCAGAAGATAAAGATGATAAATGTGAAGTATCCCAGAATCCCAGGTGCTGATTTTGATAAGTGAGCCGCTCAGTTCCAGAAAACATGGAGAATCGTTGCAGGTTCGGCAGAAAGCTTTGTAGGTCTATGTAGGTCTAGGTTCCCAGGCCTGTTGGCCAAGGTCAGGTGAGATCACCATCCACGAATGTTTGCTATACACAGCGTATCCTGATGCCACTCGTGAGTCACTGTGATTCATAGCGGTCCTCAACAGATGGAAACGCAAAATCCTTTCAACATAGCGAGCGTCTCCATCTTCATCTCCTTTGGTGAGCTGGATGTGGTGTACGGGAAACAAATAAAACAGTGGTGTTCCCGTGGGCAAATCCCATCAAATCAGCCAAGTGATTTACAAAAAGTTGTTGGCTTGCTCGAGGTAAGCGGTTCGGCTTCCGAGACTTTTGAGAAGGTTTGGCAAGAAGCTGTAGAAGTGTGTCTTGGATTTGGTCACGTCAAAATGGCGTCGAAATGGGTATGGGTAAAAAATATTGATACTTTGGTGAACATGACAGTTTCTGGCAAGTGCCGAAAACAAATATGTGGATTCAACGGCCAGATTTTGGGGTATGGGCACCCCCACAACATGGATGACTCCGAATTCCTTTTCCATGCTGCCACTTTTGTTCGTCCAAGTGGATGGTTTGATATACCCATGAGTGACCAAGTCTGTATGTAAGTCCAACGAAGTGGGGGCACCAGTTTGGGACCATTTCCCATCCAGCGCGGTTCAACCCGGACGTTAGTTGATGGTTGTGAATGGCGCCTTCTAGCAGGCTTAATGACCCAATGCAGGGGAAAGCCTTACACAGAAAACTTCATTTGTGAGCAATTACGGTGCATCCCTATTCTGCATGGTACTTTTCCGATTTTTGTGTGCCCCGCTTGGTAAATAGTTTTTGGACCCCACGAAAGGAGATTTGTAATGCCATGCGAGGCAAGTCGTATCTGTAATCCATTGGCTGGTGC